CTGCTTCCTGTGTATTTTCTTCATGCAGAAGATAGCTGTTGCTTTTTTGGGCTCTTTTCTGCAGCCTCCCTTCATCCTGGAGCCTTTTAATGTTTTTTTTTTAATGGCTGAGGCCTCCCAAAGGCTGCAGCAGGGATCCAGATGAGGCTGCAGCACTGACTTACATAAGGTGTTTCCATTATGGGTGTTCTCCATCCTGCTCCCCATAGTCCTCACATCTTGTGTGCAGCTGCAGGCTTGGAGCCAGAGAATCACAGAATATCCTGAGCTGGAAGCCAACCAGGTAGCCCACAGTGCTCCTGCCTTTCCAGAAAGAGGCTTTGGTCTAAACTCTGGAAAGGTCTGATGGTTTAAAGCAATCCCCTCTGGAATCCATCCCAGTGGGTTTATTGCTGCTGAGCCCTCATTTCACACTTGGTTGCACACTTGGTTGAAATCCTTCTGGTTTGTTGTCATGAAAATCAGGCAATTACTGTGCTGGCTTTGCCATCTCTACCCAAATTCTGCTTCTGAAAAGAGCTAATTTCCCACTCTGTGATGGCATTGGCTGCATCCATGGGGCAGCACCTCATTTAAACATCCTGGGAAAACTGCACAGATCCCTGTTCCATCAGAGCCTTGTCAGGGATGGGGCTGCAGCTCTGGAGCTCCCCATCCCTCACTGTCACCTCTGTCCCTGGGATGTTCCCAGCTCCCCATCCCTCACTGTCACCTCTGTCCCTGGGATGTTTCCAGCTCCCCATCCCAGATGGAGCACAGTGGGGAATATCTCATCAATGAGTCTTTGCTGTGTTTTCATGCCCATAACAGCTCCTTCCAGGGCATTCCAGATCATCTGGGCTTGTTCTTAAGCATGGAATCATGGAATGGTTTGGGCTGGAAGGGACCTTTAAGGGACCTTTAAGCCCGTCCAGTTCCACCCTGCCAAGAGCCGGGACGTTTCCCACTATCCCAGGTTGCTCCAAGCTCCATCCAACCTGGCATCTCCTGTATTTACATTTATTTATCAACTATTTATTTAATTTCTCAGCCTTACACCACTTGTCCTCACCAAAACTCCCTCTGATCTTTCTGCACTCCTTCCCTTCCTCATTTCCTTCCCCCCACATGTTGGTGCTGTGGTTGTTTCTGTGCTGTGTGCAGCTCTGACAGATGTCTGTGGCCATTTCTGCGCCACTTGCCTTGTGTTTCCCCCGAGGTCCTGGATTAAATGCTCAGTCAAAACTCTTGTATTTCATGGGCCAGCGATCTGCTTCCACTTGGAGTCCTCCTTTTTCTGCTGGTTTCCCTTTTGTGAGCGTTCCCTCCGTGCCTGCTCAGCTCCTGTGTTGTCTCAGGGGCTGCTCTGGCTGTGGATGTGTCTCCCACACACAGACCCTGCTCCCACTGGAGCCTTGAACATGTCCTGTGAGCCAGGAGAGCAAGGGGAGCTGGGGAAGGCCCTCTGGGTGCTGGAATGGGCTGGAGTAGATGGAGGAGAAGTGCCCCAGTCCTGCAGGATTCACTGAGCCAGGAAAAGGCAAAGAGCAGCCCCAGCCCAGGGTCAGCAGCTGTGCCTGATACTGCTCAGCTGTCAGGAGAGGCTGTTTCCACCCAAAAATATTCCCTGTATTGTATGAAGACCTGAGTTTGCAGAAAGCACCAACACCTTGATGTTTAGTTTTGCCAGCAGTGTCATACCGGGGTGCTGGGCTGGGATTCCTTCCCTGGCAGTGCTCACATCCCACTGTCACTTCTGATGGAATCACTGGTAATAAGAAGTGGGATTATTTCCCAGAGGAGCCTGGCAGCAGCATCTGTCACTTTGTCCTGATGGACTTGACTTCCATCAGGGTTTGGTTACACCAGGGCTTGGTGAAGAGCCAGGGCTGGACTCAGTGCCTGGTACCCACAGGGAATCCCACAGTGGTTTGGGCTGGAAGGGACCTGAAAGCCCATCCAGTGCCACCCCTGCCATGGGCAGTGACACCTTCCACTATCCCAGGGTGCTCCAAGGGCTGTCCCAGCCTGGCCTGGGACACTGCCAGGGATGCAAGGGCAGCCACTGCTGCTCTGGGCATGCTGTGCCAGGGCCCCCTCCGACCCTCCTAGGGAACAATTCTTTCCCATTATCCCATCCATCCCATCTATCCCTGCCCCCCTGGCAGTGGGAAGCCATTCCCTTTGTCTCTCCATCCCTTGTCCAAAAGGTGGTGAGACAGGTTATGCTGGGAAAACTCCTTTTTCAACTCAAGTTTGATTGGAAGTGGGACTTGTCTCTCTGCCTTTGTTGCCATCAGAGTCCTGCTGAGCATCACTGATCTCTAAAAGGTATTTCTGTTGTGCTTGTGCATTAGAGACTTCGTTGTCTTCCAGGACTGTTCTGGTCCATCTCAGCCCCTTCCTTTGGGATCTCAATTAAGCAGGGGCTCAGGGAAGCAGCTCCCCAGCCAAGCCATTCAGAGCAGTGAGACTGAGAAGGCCTCAGTCCAGTTTCCCAGCTGCTGCAGCAGCTGTTCCCTTCCTTGGGGCCCATGAGCAAACCTGGGGACCCCGGGGCAGCCAGCAGCTGCCACCCCTCTGCCCCTGCTGCTCCAGAGGCGAGGCTGCTCTGCCAGGTGGAAACCAAACAGGAATTTCCTCCCCCTCTTCCCCGTGGCCTCGGACCAGGCGCCAGAGCAGCAGCCAAGAGCCCCGAGGTCCTGGCAGGTCCAGCTGCTCCTGGGCTGGTGGCAGGGGTGGTGTCATTGGCAGGGACACCAAGGAGGGGTTTGTCACCCCTGTGCACTCACAGACCCCTGTGCATTGCTCCAGCCAGGAGCTGCCTTGCTCCCCCAGCAGAAGGCTTGGAGGCTGAACCCTCACATGAAGAAAAGTGACATGTGATGAGTGAAAGGGCTCTGGCAGAGTGGGATCTGGAAAGTGAGAGAGGGGGAGGGAAGCCTTAATTTAATGGAATTGTCACACGTGGCAAAGATCAGAGCATCTTCTCTGGATCCTTCCATCCCAGGACAGCGTTAACTTCACTCAGACCTGTGTTCAGGTGATTCTCCTCATCCCAGCAGGAGCTGACACCCAGACTGATCCAGCTTCCTGCAGGTCCCACAGCCCCAAGGCATCCAGGACCTTTGGATTCCCAGGCCTGGGTCCTGCTTGGGTCAAAATGCAGGTTATTGACATTCCTCTCCCCACATCCTCTGGTGTCACCTAGAAGTTGCTGCTGGAGGGGAGAGGAAAGTCCTTCACCCTCATCCCTGTTAGGGACACGTGATGCTGAAGCTCTTCCCAAGGGGCAGGGATCTCCGAGAGGCTCCTCTGTGTGTGCAGTTCATTCCTCTAAGACACAACAAAAATAGCAGCCTAAGCTGGGATTGCAGCCTCAGCTCACCCAGGCAGGAGTAAACAACATTAAATACCTGGGACAACACGAGGGCTTTGTGTGCTGGGCCCTGCCAGCCCCCTCCAACCAACCAAGCATTGCTATGGAAGTGGTGAAAACCTGAATTATTTGGGAACTGCATAAAAATGTAGCTTAAGCAATGTGACACGGCCTGAACAGTCTGTTAATGGAAATGGAATAAAAACTGCACAAAGGACTTGGGCTGTGGCAGTGGAAATGCTGAAATGGCTCAGACAAGGCAGGACGTGGGGTCTGGAAGCCAAACTCAGGGATCCCAGCACATCCCCCCGGGGTGTTTGGAGCATCCAGAGAGGCAGTAGAGTCAATGTCAACAATTCTGAACCACTCAGTTTATACCAAAAATATTATCCTAAAAATTATACTAAAAATGCTGGAAATATGGGAATTTTGAGTGTGGGTGAGGTCACAGAAGAGAATTACCAAAGGCCAAGTCCCTGGATAGTTCTTCCCACTGGTGGTGGCTCATGGGAACAGATCTGCTGCGGATTTTCCTGCAGATCCCCTCTCCTGGGGGATCTCCAGGGCTTCTTGGCTGGTCCCAAGGGATCATGGCTGGAGCTGGGGCATTGGCTTGGTCTCAGCTCCATCCCAGCCCCCAGAGCAGCCAGGCCATCAGTGGGGCCATGGCAGTGCTGGGTTCTTCACTTTCTTCATGGAAAGGGCTGTCCAGCCCTGACACAGCTGCCCAGGGCAGTGGTGGAGGGATTTAAAGCCACGTGGATGTGGCACTTGGGGACATGGGTCAGTGGTGGCCTTGGCAGTGCTGGGGGAACAGTTGGACTTGATGATCCCAGAGGGATCATGAATTAAATCATTAATTATTCCATGATTTATGATTTCTCTGCTTATGGCATGAGGATCATAATTTGGGATTTAGAGATGGGGCCTTTATGCCCTTTAGCAAAGGGGGACATTCTTGCCAGGCATCCTGGCCCTGCTGTCCTCATGTCCCCACTGGCAGTGACCCCAACAGTCACAGACAAACGATGTAGGGGGCAGAAAGTCCTGATTTACTCGTAAGAAGCATTTTTAGTGCCAAAACTGCATTAGGGGGTTCAAAAGCTGCAGGGACAGAGTTTTATCCCAGACAGCTTGGTCTGTCCATCTGAGAGGGAATTGGGAACAGCCACCACCCCACGTGTGGTTCCTTTCACTGTTCCAGGCTGTATTTCAGTCTCTGAGCTCAGCCCAGGGATGTCCCTGTCACTGCTGCAGGCACAGAGCTGGGAGGGGTCACTTTGGGGTCATTCAGTGGGCAGTGCTGGCAGCAGCCCCTGGACCCTTTGATCCGGCCTGTGCTCTGCCCATGGAGCTGAGTCCTCCCACCAGCACTGATCCCAGTCCCAGAGTGAGAGGCTTCACAAGCAGGATCCCAAAGCTGGGCTCAGAGCTCAGGCCTGGCTTAACACAGAGTTTTGGGATGGCTGCAGAATGTGCCTGACCTGAAAACGCCTGTCCAATCCCATCCCATCTCATGCCATCCCATTATCCCATCCCATGCCATCCCATTATCCCATCCCATCCCATCCCATCACACCACCCCACCCCATCCCATCCCATCCCTCCCACCCCTCCTGACTCGTGTCCCTTTTCCCGGCAGGGAGAAGCGCTCTCTGCACGTCACTGTCACCAACCCGGTGCAGTGCAGCCTGCACGGCAGGAAATGCACCGTGTCCGTGGAGACCAAGATCAACCAATCCCAACCGGATTTCACCAAGCACCGCTCCGGCTTCGTCCTCTGCGTGCCGGGCAATTAACGGCCCCTCCCCTCGGACCGGGCTGGGCTCACCCTCCCCACCTGGGACTCGCCGGGATTCGTCGGGAGATGCTCGGCAGCGACCCGCCAGGTGCCTAAAGCAGCCTCTGAAGCTCAAGGTTTAGAAAACCCAAATACTGGGGGTTTAGAAAAGCCAAATTCACACGGAATGAAGGCTTAAAATAGCCAGTGACCTGTTCTCCATCTTACAAACCAGGCTGGAATATCAGGAAAGTGCTTCCTTTGGAATTAGTCCAGAAAAAAGAGTTCATAGGTACTTCCACCCTTTCTTCTCTTTCCCACATTGATTCCTCACCCCCTCTCCAATTTTCCCTTCCATGTTCCTTTCCCATGTGTCAGTTTTGCAATATGATGCAGCCTCCTCCTCTGGAGGAACCAAAGATACCCAGCTCAGGGAGTCAGGTTCTGTAGGGCCAAATCCCCACGGAGCCAGAGCCAGGCTGGGAAGGGAGGGCTGGCTTTCCCTGTCGGAGACACTCCACACTCCTCCAGCCCCTCCAGGCACACGGGGCTGGGAAGGTACATGGAGACACCTCCAGACTTGCTGCTTTCCCTTGGGAATTCATTAACCCATGGAGGCACCTTGGCTGGAGAGGGGACTTCCCAGTGCAGGGCCTGGTTTTGTTAATCCTGCATTGCTTTTTGCCTTAATTACCCCCTCCAAGGGCCTAAAGCCGGTGGGTTCCCATTGGGACCATGTGGCCTTGCTGAATTTTTAGATGATCCAATGGCTTCGTGTCTGTGCCAGCGCTGGGGTCAGGGAGGGCTAAGGGGACCCACAGCAGGGCTGAGTCCAGGAACAGGGGGAGGTTTGGGGGGCCAAGCTTTGCACTATCCAACATTAACCTGGCACAGCCCCAGCTGCCAGCACCTAGGCTCCTCCCTCTGAAGAGTTTTCCTGGCTCTTCCAGCAGTGGGCTGTGGGTGTTGGGCTTGTCCTGCCCAGCCCAGATGACCCTGAGCTCTGTCTTGATGGAGTGTTGTGGATCTCCCCAGTGCTTTATTCCCACTGTGCTGGGCACTGCTGTGGTTGTTGAGCAGCCCAGGCTGTTGGGGTTGTACATTGAGATTTTCCTGGCACTGCTGGTCAGGTCAGGATTCCCAGCCCTGGAGATGTGTGGTGACCCCACCTCGGGGGTCCCAGCCCGGCCGGCAAATGGGGGAGCACGTGTTTGATGGAGCATTTTGGGAAATAGAAAGCCTGGAAGGGGCTCCTCATTAACAATAGGTTTCCTGAAGCCGTGCCATGGACGTGTGGGGCACAGGGACAAGTCTCTGCAGCCTTGGTGTCCCACTGCCACCCCCGAGGCCAGGGGGTACACAGCTCTGGCTCTGCATGAACTGGGACAAGCCCACGCACTGGAACTCACTGGCCCCACGCTGGAACTCTCCCATTGTCCCTGGCCTTGGACCAGCCCCGGCAGCGTCCCAGCTGCCCAGCCCAGCCCCCAGTGCCCCCTCTGGGTGTGCAGTTCTGGGATGTCCGGAGGGTCCTGTGCCAGGGGCACCACAGCCCCAAGGCACCACCAGCGCTGGGCCGGGAGCCCCGAGCCCGCCACAACACCCGAGACCACCCCGGGACCACCCCGGGACCACCACGGACCCTCCAGCGCCTCCTTCCACCCCACGTCGGCTCCTCGGGAGGAGCGACATCAACGCCAAAGCCACGGGCAACCCCCGCCCCCGCCGGGGCCGCTCCCAGGGAAGCTCCCGGCCTTGCTGTGCCTTTGGATTTGCACTTCTCGCTTTCCGTGTCCTGGTGCAAACGCCCCCCGCCGCACTAACCCCGGGCAGGGGCTGGGGCTGGGATCAGCACTTTTGTACCCTTGTCCCTCCAGAAGAATGGTCGGATGGAATTGGGATGGACGGCAACGAATTGCAGGCTTGGGAAATTTCTCCTACCATGAGATGGCAATATTGTATGTGATGAGATGTGTCTTATATTATCTGTTCCTGCTCTGGTTTTATATATATATAAATATATATAAATATATAAAATATATATATTCCTGGTTTTCCCATAAATTAACTAGTTCTAAATTGAAACTTCGATTCTCAGCCAGGGGCGATAATGCAATGAACCCTTTTTCTTTTTTTTTTTTTTTTTTTAATAAATCGCTGATATTTTATGTGTAAAAGACCAGGAAAAAAAAAAAAAAACAACTATAATGGACCTGGGTTTTGTTTACATAATTCACTGTAATAAATAATAAAAGAAAGCAATTAGTTGCATCCCACCATGGCGCTGCCCGTTCCTGCCGGCGCGGGGGCGATGATGCCCGGAGGGATCGTGGCCCAATATCCCAATTATTCCGCTATCCCGACCTTCCCCCTCCGGCTGCTGCCGGCCCCGCCGCTCTCCCACCACGGGGTGACCCCGGCGCCGGTAACGCGATTACAGCGGCGGCTGCGTTAAAGCCTCTGTCGTCAACACAAATCCCATTGCCAGCGTCCGAGGGCTGCGAGCGCAGAAAAGACTCGGCCACGAGCCGCTGCCGTGTAATGGATGGTCAGTGCATTTTTATTTAATCAGCACAGTACAAAAATAAATAAAAATAAGGGGAGGGGATTAAATTACAGGCACACTGAGCCCCATGACACAGTCGGTCGGGTTATAAACCACACATACTTACAAACACACTATACACATACATACAAAATGAGACAAATATAAATTAATAAGTAACAATACCCACCAATTTGGTCAACAAAGATCTACAGAAGAGATTGCACTAAAAAAACGTACGTACACATGTATCATTAGCAGGGTCCAATGTACAGCCATGAAGAGCTTCAAGTGAAAAATCAAAAATAAAAATAAATGGCACGTTATTTCTCCCTCTCGCTCGCCAGTTTAACGCCCGAAGGACCAGAACTAAACTAGAACTGAGCACACGGAGAAAAAAAAAAAATCTATAAAACCCAAAAAGAAGGTCTCAGTCCCCAGGCCTGATACGGGAATACCGGCTCGAGACTGCGGTGTCGGGGTGGTGGCGGGTCTTTGTGCATGGGTGTAATTTTACAGCCATCTCTCGTTAAGGTTTTTCTTTTGATTATTATTTTTTTATGCGTTTTTTCCTTTTTTTTTTTCCGAAGACACAAAATGCTTCTGTTTGCATGCGCAATACCACTGGAAAAGCAACAATGACAGAAGAAAGAAGGGTTTTTTTCTCTTTCCCCCCCGCAGGTTTGCAGTTCGTTGGGTTTGTTCTAGAAGAATTCATATAGCAGCATGTGGCGGCTCCCCTTGCTTGCACACTCAAGTAGATCCTTTACACAATACTCATGATCAGTGCACGATGGGAACAAGACATTTCACATTGATCTCATGAATAGTAGTGGTGATTCCCGTCACCCGGACCCGCTCGGGAATTCGAGTCTCTTCAAAGAAAATAAATAAAGGGGGGGATGAGGGAGGAAGGGGGGGTGGGGGGTCCCCGGGTCGTGCCCGCGTCTCTGTCCCGGTACTGCCGGTGAGTCCCGAGCGGGCCGGTTCAGCCGCCTCCGCTGGAGCCTTTACAGGAATTTTTTTTTCTTTTTTTTTTTCTTTTTTTTTTTCCCCTACCTGGGCTCTGTCTCGGTGATGCGGTGAGCGGCCCCGCGGAGCCCCGCTCCGCTCCCGGGGGATATCGGCTGGGGGGGTTCATGTCCCCCCATCCATCCATGAATTGCTGGGATCAATCCGGTGGCGGAGCCGCAGCATCCCCGGGCCCGCAGCGTGGGGAGGGGGCGGCGGCTGGAAAGCAGCGGCGCGGGAGGGAACCGGGGGTCTGCGCTCCGGTCCGGCGGCGGCCGAGCCCCCCGTGTAACCCCCAGCGGGGGCGGCGGCTCCCGCCCTTCCCCGCCGGGCAAATCCCCCCGGGAAGCGGCTCCGGGCCGGGCCGGCGCGGCGTGTCCGGGGGGCGCGCGGGGCGCGGGCGCTCACCGGTCGAGGCCGATGAGCAGCCGGCCCTTCTCCTCGGAGCCGCTCTCCTTCTTGAGGTCGGCGAAGACCTGGGTGAAGTAGTGCGGGTCGGCGTTGACCTGCAGCATCTTGGGGCTCATGAGGTCGATGATGGAGAGGCAGCGGTCCCAGAAGGCCTCCTTACAGCTCTCCACCAGGAAGGGCTTCAGCGGGTAGGATATCTCGTTGCCCATGTAAGAGTAGGAGAGGTACAGGCAGGTGAGCAGCACTGCCTGCAGTTCGTGGTCGCTGGCCACCTCGGCCGAGATGACGTCCCGGCACAGCATGTAGAGGAAGACCACGTTGGCCGGCGTGATGAAGCCCTGGTCCTGCCAGCCCTGCAGGAGCAGCGAGCGGTCCACGGAGCGCAGCCAGAGCACGGGGTCGGTGGGCGAGAGGTGCTTCAGGCGGTAGCAGCGGCGGCACAAGAACTCGCCGAGGCAGCGCAGCAGCTCGCTGGTGGACGCCTGCACCACGACCCGGCGCGGGGTGGCGGCGGCGGCGGCGGGCGCGGCCGGGGGCGCCTTCTGCGCCGAGGCGAGGGCGGCGGCGGCGGCGGCGGGGGGCGGCGGGGGGGCGAAGGTGGCGAGGTTGGCGCAGGAGAGCGACTTCTTCAGGTTCTCGTTGTTGAGGTGGGTCACGTTGCTCTGGTAGCCGCCGTTGGGCTGCACCTTCTTGGAGCTCTTCTTCTTGGCGGAGACGGCGGCGATGCGCTTCCAAGGCAGCACCGAGATCAGCGAGTGCCGCTTCAGGCCCTTCTCCTTCGCGTTCTTGCTGTTCTGCACCGCCGTGTAGTGCCCCACCGTGGCCGCCCCCTCCTCGAACAGCGGGGCCTTCCGATAGCTCGGCGACAGCGACAGCACCGTGCCCATGGCGCCGGCCGCCCGGCGGGCCCCCGCCGCCCGCCCTGGCCCCGGCCCCGGCCCCGGCCCCGGCCCGGCCCGGCCCGGCCGGCCCCGCTCTCGCTGCTCCGCCGCCGCCGCCGCCGCCGCTCAGCGCCGCGCCCGGACCCGCCCCGCGCCGCGCGCGCTCCCGCCGGCGCAGTGCGCGCGCCCGCCGGCCCCGCCGCCCCGCCCCGCGCCGACACGTGCGCCCGCCGCTACAGCCGAGGCCCCGCCCTCGACTACACAGGCCCCGCCCCCGAACGGCGGCAAGGGGCGGAGCCCCGCCCTTTCATGGCCTTGAATGGGTCCTGTCCCGCCCCCAGAGCGCCAGGCCCCGCCCACGCAAACAAGGCCCCGCCTCTCCCTGTTTATGAATGGAGGTATTCCCGCCCCCCCCGCCCTCAGCC